TGTGTACATATATGTATATATACATATATATATATATATATGTCTGTGTGTGTATATATATATATAGGCTGACGGGCTAACTCCTCGGGAATTAGTGCAATCCTAAACGGCTGAATCGAAGTAAACCCCGAACTTGGCTCTCCGCCTCTCCAGCATTTCTGGCCGTTCTCACAGCAGCAGGACAAACAGCCCGTGACATGGGCACTTCGAAGGACTTAGGGGTAGGGCTAACATCGAACTCCCACACACACCCACACTTCGACGGCATTTCCGATCTTCCTTGTTAGCGTACAGACCTTGACTACTCCTCCGCCACCCTTCCCTTACAGGCCCTCAGCCAGGCCCACATTCAGCATGCTTTCAAAGCCTGTCAGCCTGAACTCCAGCCCTAGACAGTCCACCTGGGTTCTGCCACATCGTCAGGTACCTTCTGCGAAGCATGCCTGTGATTTTCATCGTGGTGGTTGTCGTTGCATCTGCCGCTCGGACGTGCTTTGAACCCAAGTGCCCTGAGCCTTGAAACTGCCGGAGGATGAAACTGACCTGAGTAGTCGAAGCTCGACGCTCAGGCTGTCCATCCCTACCTTAAGGGGCAAACTAGTGTTTTAGGGCTTCGGCTTTGGAAGGAGTGGATGGTTCGTGAGTTTGTGGGTCTCACAAGAACGAGACAGACATGTATAAATAAAGAAATCAATAAATAAGTAAACATATATATATATATGTATACATATATATTTTTCTCGTAGATAGATGGACCTTTGTTTTTAGGTATGTATGCATGTATGCCTATGTAATTTACCTAAGGTTTTATCAGGACATGGAACAATGAAACTCGCGGTTGGGGCGGTCGGTTGCAGAAGCCAAGACTACTTCAGCTTCTAAGCTTTGTGAGACCCTGAAGCAGGTGCCACCTGCTAGAGTTCTTTTGGCCAGCCAACCCAATACTGTAGTTGAGGAGGGAAAAACCGTGAACAAACCCTAAACCCTAAACCCCTAAACCGTGCACCCATGGATCCTCGCCTGGCATGTCCGAGTTGTGAGAGTGTAAACCCCTAAACCGTGAAGAAGAAGAGGTAGTTTGGCTCACGGCTGGTGGGCCCTTTGTCATCTCCATGCTCGTCGGCGCTTCAAGCTGCATGTTCTGCGTGACTTGCCGGAACCCTGCGACGAGGGTTTAGCGTTTTGACGGCGTGCGGTGTTCAGGGTGCAGTTAGGTTAGGATTTAGGGATATTTAGGGTTTACTTTATACCATGACACGACCTACAGGTACAACAAACTGCCAAGAGGGAGTGCTTCTTCATCACTTCAGCTCTTGTGGAGTCTTCAGAGCTTCGTGATTCGGTCACGGCGCCGTCCAAGGACGTTAAAAATGGTTGAGGATTTTGAGGTTCAAAGTTTGCGACTTAGCGGCTGGCAGGACCAGGAGGAGCTTCGCTGTAAACTGCAGTAGGAAAGCTTGAAGAGGATTCTACGCATTCTACTAGCCAGTGCTTGACTAGGAGAATTCCGTAAACTCAGCCCTTCAGCCGTTCACATCAGCGGCAAGTTGAGTCGAAAGCTCTAGCGAGAGTGCGGTGTTCAGATCTGTTGTGCCTAGCAACGTGTATCGCAGCAGCTTGCTTGCATACCATTGCAGCAAGGAGATACCCTGCAGAGACACAGTCAGATAGCAAAGCACCAATCTGCAGGCCAATCTCGGCACCAACATGAACTTCGAAGGTGCCCTGGAAGAGATCAGGGCTTGAGCCCAAAGCCCCAAAACCGTCAACAGCAGATCGCGAACCCTCGAGCCCTAGGACCTCAAATTGTGATGTCTGGGGACTGCTTGGCCGTGAAGTGTTCAGAGTGCGAAATCATGACCAAACTCCTGCACATTAACACCAAAAGCAAATCGTTCCCATTACCACGAAGAAACCTGCACCGTGGCATAGTAACAACTCAGATAGCTGTTAACGTCAGCAAGAATTGAAACGCAACTTACGACAGCAGCAAAGACCTGTACATGCGTGTAACGACACGGCAATGATCTCGGTTCCAGCACTGCCCATTACAAAGCCATCTGCCTGACTGCACATAGCCAAGTGCCAGAAGTCAAAGCCATGCCCACCCCAACACTCCTATACCCCCGAAGCCCTAAGTGTTCCAAACGTAGAAGCACAGGGAAAGGCTTACTGCCGGCAGTTAACCGAAGTTTTTAACTTGAGTAGAGTTGGGGCCGTGCTGGGTTTCTTGCCTGAGCCTACATGTACTTCTCGAAGACGTCATGATGCCTATGACGGCCAAAGCCCGAAACCTCAAGCTGTGCACTTGACAGTGAGAGATTGTGAACCCGAAGTCATTAAACTTGGCAGTTCCCGAATCTTATGTCCAGCTTGTTTCAAAGCTAACTTGAGGCAGCATGTGGGTGTGTAGGGAACACCTGGGCAGCCTACTCACAGGTTTGTGGCTAGGACTTTAAGCTTCAATTTCTTTGTTGGCAGCCCTATGAGTTCGAGCATCCTCAGCACCTCGATCTCTTTTCGGGAGCGTAGGTCTCTGAACCCTGAAGCCGTACCCAAAAGTTCAGTAGTTAAGCTATGAAGTTTACCAAGCGACAACCCTCTCAACATGAGCATGTTGGAGTTTAGGTGGCCCGAGACTGACTCATGCCAGGAGCCCAGGGTTCGGGAGTTTTTTGTGTCCGTATTCGGGCTCATCGTTCAGGGTCGGTTTAGGGCTCGTGCGTAACATTCTGGTATCTAAATGGTGGTAGTTGCAGCATTTGGTCCCGACGTGGTGTTGCAGCACAGCCTTGGCAAGGCTTTTTGTCGAAGCTGTAGTGCCGGAGTGTAATCGCACAAATGTTCAGCATCGGAGTGTGCGCGAGATTGGGGTCTTTTTGTTTGCCGATCCAAAGTGCTATTTGTGCTGCTTCGAGTAATCATAAACCCTATTGCACAAGCTGTGTGTGCGGGAGGCAGAAAATCTTGCACAGTTGTTCCATGCATGGCCTTAGAAAAGTGGATTCAGGGAGGTTCTGGTACAGGTTCACCACCAATCGAGCTATGCGCAAGCCGGGCATCTAAACCCCAAATCTGACCTTTACAGAGGCGTTTCGAAGGGTCTATGCAAGACTCGCGAAAGTCAAGAAGTGCGTGGGGTAAATTGGCAAGTAGCCCCGCCACTCAACTACCTAGCACGCAAGCCGCGCCCACCCTTCCAAGAACCCGATCGTAAGACCGAAGCAAGGCAACGGCTGCACAGGATCCTTCAACTCCAGTCCTGAAATCTAATTAGGCCTTTCGATGAGCCCATATGAGCCACAACTCAGGCCATGAATTACGATCTCCCTGGCTCTTTGCAATTTGGGGCCGCTGTGCTGAATGTGTTCCATTCAGGTTAAAACTCCGAATCACCGGTTCTCGCTATGTTTCAACAAGTCTTCCTCATGGTCTTGCCTTCATGACATGAAGCCGCGTTGGCTTTGGGATTGAGTAGCCTACACTGACAGCAATAAGCAGGAATACTCATATGATTGTCATGGACGCAGCAGGACTCGCCCCCCAACTGCAGTTTCAGAATTGTGGTGCCAGACTGATAGTCATAGCAGCAAAGGTTCGGGGTCTAAAGTGTGAGGGGCTCGTTCTCTTCGCGACAGAGTAAGCAGTCCATGTCTGCCTTGAGGGCAGGTGACGGACCCCTACAGCCCAGTGGAATACTTGAACCTTTCACTGGGTGGAGGGGGGAGAGACGGGCCTGCAAAAGCCACACCACCCCTCTAACTTGCGCTTCAGCGCGTTCTGCGCAGGTCTTTTGCCAGTCGGTTCCATACCTGAACGCTAGAGCACTACAACCGACACAGAGAGTTACTCGACATAGTAAACCGTGAACATGAGGAGCCCAACACCTTACAGCGGCAGCGGCGTACTACTGCAAAATGTCGAGAACTACCCACGCGACAGCAGAGTAGTTATGTCAAGGGGCTTGGGGTGTATTGCATGCAAGCACACATCAGGATAGGGGTTGTGCTTGTTGCCGTTCAGGGACAGCAAAGTACCGGCATCGGGAGGTCCGAACTGGCGCCATTGGAGGTCTTGGTGCGCACAGCACGGCGCAGGCCGTGCCATTCTTATGCTTTGCATTGAGTCTCGCGAACTCTTAGTCGTTATTTAGGGTATTGCTTGTCTGCGTGTTAAGTCGGTCTTTCAGTTTTGGGGCAAAGCTTGGTTCGGTTGTTGGGTGTTCATGATCAAAGGAGTATGCAGATTCAAAATGAGGACGAGGACGACGAACTTGTTCACGATGGTGAAGATGACCATCATCTTGTTCATCATCACTGTCATCATCACCATCATCATCGTCATNNCATCGTCATCATCATTATCATCGTCGTGCGGATCTCGACGCTCATCTGGAATGTCCCGTCAGGTGGGTGTCGTGCTGGTTTGGATGGTGGCCTCGCTGCTGCAACAACGACTCGGGCACTGAGGTTCAGGGCTACATAAAATTGAAATCGCCTGGCACGATTGGGGACAGTCGATTGTAGAATCAGATCGTTTTCAGTTGAGCAGCACAAATAAGGGGTAAGATTCATTCTACGGAAAGCCTCCAAAGAAGCGGACTTCTGCTGGCCCAGCAGCTGTTCCGAATCCATCTTTCTTTGCGGTTATTCTGAACAAGCTTTTCTGTGTTCAGGTTGAACCCTCCTAACTAACCAGATTCACGGTGCAACGACGCCAGCTCCAGTCCCGACGACCGTGCGAAGCGGGATTTACTTTGGGATTTGGCAGGAGAACTACGACAACTGACAACGACTAGTTACTGGTACTGAAATAGTACTAGTACAAGTACTACTTTACAAGTATTACTTTACAAGTACTACTACAAGTACTAGTACTAC